CCCTGAGGTTTCAGTTTTGTTCCTGAAATCCCTAATAAAGCAGAGCTGATCACTATGCTTGGGGTCAGACCATCCATGGAACCCAGTATTTAACAAAAAACATGGAGGGAGTTCAGGGGTGAGCTTAAACAAAACAGTCCTTGATAGGGTCCTGTTCACCTCCTCTGTCATGTCCCCTGATGGAGGAGGCCAGGCCCAGGTCAGTAGGGATAGGCCCAGAGGAGACCACTGGAGACTCTCTACCCATACCACTCAGCCAGACCCAGCCTGGCAGCAGCAACCATCATTATCCCAGGAAGAGGCTGCCAGGGGACAGGAGTAGGGAAGCTGAAGAGACGGGTGCCAATAAATATAGGTTGACTGGTAGATGGAAGGAAGGGGGGAAGCTGAAGAAACGGGAGCAATAATGACAGGCTGGCTGGAGGATGGGAATGAAGCAGGAAAAGTGGAAAGGATATGGGGCTGCCAGGGTAGGGAACTCCAAAAGGTGGGTGAGGCAGGCCCTCCCTTTGCAGAAGCCACAGTGATTTTCCCTTAGCAAGCTTTGTCCCTCTATATGCCTAATCTTTGATTCCAGTTTTTATTAATTTGCTTGGGACAGATGTTAGGCTGACTGGACTGTAATTCCCTGGTTCCCCTCTAGATTCCTTTTTAAAACTTGGTGTAACATTTGCTACTTTCCAGTCTTCTGGTACAGTAGCTGAATTTAGTGATAGGTTACATATATGGATTTTCAAGATTGGAAAACAGGCCTACTGAGATACTATACTGTATATATCTAAGAATCTATGCCTCTTTGGTTCATGATTGACCTGAAGCCACTAGAATTTATCAACTAAGGCTGCAGTCCAAGACTTGCTAAGCATACCTGTCGTGAAGGATTAGCGGTTATTAGCCTACCTTAAAACAAAATTTAAGCTGAATGATGCACATCTGATTTAATAAAGTAATAATAAACGAGCTAAAGATGAAGGCAGCAGGTGTAAAAATGCACATTTTTTATTGTTACCAATGTTTCCTCTAAGCTGTGGAGTGTTGTGAGCAAATGATGTCAAGTACATGTCAAGTTAACTTTGGTAGTCTGAGTTCTGGATTGGCTACAGGGCCCCAGCCTGTTCAAATCTTAAACTTTAAGAAATTTAGCATTTCTGTTCCTTGTGTTTAGTCGCAGTGGAGCTGCCAACTCCAGCTATCCCAAGGCGATGGGCTAACCTCGTCATAGGTCAGGAATTTGCCTGGCATGCACACAGACCAATCCTCTTTGGACAAAGAGACTTGTCACGCTGTCCAACTTCAACCAATAAGAGTAACCCCTGGTAAATATGAATTATGGTTGTAGTGTGTACCTAGAACTTTACTATGTAGCTTTCTTGTTTTGTCACTCAGTGCTTTGTTCCTTTTGAAATACTCTTGTACTCTTTAATAACATTACTTTGATTTTATTGGTTGTTCCATATTTCAGGTGCTGCAATCTAATTCCAGTACCTTAGGCTTAAAGCGTCCACTTCCTGGTTAAACTCCAGTGGAAACTAGGCTTGCCAAGTCCCCCCACCCCAGAAACCTGTTCCCCGCCGCCGGCAGATCGGGCCCCGGGGGGAACCCCACCCTGACGTGCGCGTCACTAGGAAGTGATGTTAGGATGCCGGGAACGCAGGGGGCGGGGCCACGACCATCGGAGCGAAACTCTATGGTTTTCCCTCCGATGGTCGTGCCCCCGCCCCCAGCGTGCCCGGTGTCCTAACGTCCCTTCCTGGTGATGTGTGTGCGGGGCACGCTTTGTGCGCACTCTAGTCTCCGCCCGGGAGTCCCCCGCTGCGGCTGAGAAACAACTTGGCAACCCTAGTGGAAACTCATTCTGCAAGTGGCCAACCTTGCAGGGCTGATTTTCTTGTTTAATCCCATTAGGGTTGGAAGCTTGATCCTTGGCTTCTGACTGTGTGGGTAGACAAAGGGGCTAGTGGCAGGCTACCCTACTGGTGTGTAGGCTTGTTTTGTAATTTAGAGTTCTGCTTCCCTCCCATACCAAGGATCTCCTGGATTGGAAATCCTGACAATCACTTGTACATATCAGGATGGTCCAGCACAATCACCCACTCATTCCAACACACAATATGGCTCCTCAAACTAGAAAATACGACACTGGGTACATGTAAATTGGAAAACACAACACTGGGTATATGTAAGTAAGAATAAGCCAGACAAGAGAAAGCAATGCATGCTGAAATTATTTGTTCCAATAAGCTATAGTTAGAAAATTTACAGCGTGCCTTTCAACACAATTGGGCTTTTTTTGTTCAGAAAGGTTTTTTTCCTTCTTAGAAGTCACTTTAGCTTTTAAACACACACACACACACACACACACACATTTCATTCATTGGTACTGAGGAAACATTAAGGGTATCAGTGACCATTTGCTCCAGCTTGTAGACATTCTTCCCACTTAATATCACATGCATAGAGACAGATTTTTTAAAAAACTTGATCCCAGGCACCTAGGTAACTGATGAGTGATAGGGACACTACTGGAGCAAATGCCTGAGTTTTGCTGCTTCACTTTTAAAGTAACCAACCCAGCTGAAGGTCTGCTTCTCCACTCTCCCAGCGTAAAGCAAATTTCGCTGCACAAATTCCTTGGTCACAAAGCCCAAGCTTGTGCACGTTTATTCGGGAGTAAGAGTCTATTAGACCCTACTCTGAAGTAATGCTACTTTCGCTGAACACAATGGGAAGTAAACATAAACAGGCTGGTACCTTAAAGACTAGCATTTCCCAATGTGTGCATGACTTCGGGAAGAGTGGCACAACACATCAGCCTTCCCAGATCCCACCCAGTGCCCCGGAGGGCTCTGCAGAGAAGAGGATGGGAGACCCGCTGGCACCCCAAACGTTATCCCACACCATGATTTGCAGGGGGCACCGGGGAAACCAACCAGTGTCTGCCACCTGCCAGGGACTCACTTCTTCAACTCCAGGGGGTGCGCTTTACTCATCTTGTGGCCTCAAATGTAGGACCAGTCACCAGTGCTTCTCTTCTACTAGCAGTTTCTTTGATGTTCTACATCCATACGTCAGAGTCGTCTCCAATAGAATGAACTCTGTGGCACAGGCACACTCACATACACTTGCACACCTTAGGTGGGAAGGCGCCATGCCAGCCATGGGCACCGCTCAGGCTAAGGAGAGCACCAACCTGGCAGCCTTCCTGTGCAGTCTGCCCTACTGATCTCCAGATGGCTTCTGAGAGGAGGGCTGTGATCCTGAGGTGCACTTAAAAAGCAGCCAGGAACTGCAGAGGGGAGAGAAACTGGCTGCTGGAAGAGGGAACAGGAGAGACCAGGTGGCAGCAGAGCACTGGGCCCTGTGCTGAGGAAAAAAACCTGTGCTGATGACTAAACATTTGTGCAGTAGCACACACTAGCACACTTTAGTGGGAACACTGATTGTTACACTTCCTAAAGTTGAATAAAATAATGAACAACCAAAACATCAGCAATATTTTAAAGAATACATAAAGGAAAAAAAGGACATTAGGAATTACTCCGGTTTTTGTTTTATTACACAAAGAGAAATTGCTTAAAAAGAAAGAATTACAACCTCATTGGTTTTAAGACCAGGACCTTAGGCAACAGACCAAGAAAGCCAGGATGGAAAATTCAAGCTGAGGTGTACCATAGCAAGGATAAGCCAAGTATCAGAGTCAAGGAGAAATCCTTTCCACCAATGAGTGAATCTTATTAGATTCATGGAAAATAAGTCTATCAGTGGCTACTAGCCATGGTGACTGAGGGGAACCTCCACATTCACAGGCACTAAGCCTCTGAATTCCAGAGCCAGGAGGCAACATCAGGGAAAGGCCTCAACCTCTATGCCCTGTTGCTGGCTGTCCAGACAAGCTGGTTGGCCACAGAGTGAGGCAGGATGCTGAACTAGATGGACCATTAGTCTGATCCAGCAGGGCTCTTATGTTCTTAATGAGTGACCTCACCGTCCTGCTGTTTCTCTCATTGTGCACACATGTACACTAGCTGCAGATCCTTCCAAAAGGAGCAAAACAGATGGCAGCTCTATAGGGGCTCACTACACAGCCACTCACTACTCATTCTCCGCCCTACATTAGAAGTATAGTAAGCATGTGGATTTGGAGCTGCGGTGGCTCAAGTGGTTAAGACGCTGAACTGCAGGCTGTGGAAGGTCAGTAGTTCAGCAGTTCGAGACCCGAGTTGCCGCATGATGGAGTGAGCTCCCACCTCTAGTTCCAGCTCCTGCCATTCTAGCCGTTCTAAAGCAAGAAATTGCAAGGAGATAAATAGGTACCACTTCGGTGAGAAGGTAACAACGTTCCGTGTGCCTTGGTGTTTAGTCATGCTGGCCACATGACCACGGAAACGTCTTCCGACAGCGCTGGCTCTTCGGCTTTGAAATGGAGATGAGCACCGCAACCCTAGAGTTAGACTTGACTGGCTTTCGAGCAAGGGAACCTTTACCTTTATTTTAGGGTTGATCCAGTACTGATCCAGTAGATACTATATCTTTCCAAGAAGCTTTTTGACAAGTCCCTTATCAGACTTTCCTGACAGTCTCTCTTATGACTGAATAATTGGTTCAACAACAGCAGGGAGGAGAGGGTAAAAATAAAGAGTCATTACAATGGAGGGACATAAGTATTGGGGTCTTCTAGGGATTGCTACTGGAACCAGTGCTATTTAACTAATCTATACATTTTCTGGAGTCAGGGCTGAACAATGAAATAGCTGTAGCTTGCAAATAAGGTGAAATTCTTCCAGTTGATGAAAACCCAAGCAGATTAGGAAGAGCTTCAAAACACGATTTCTCTAAATGAGGGGAAGGGGCAACAGAACGGAAAATAAAATTCAGCACAAGCAAATATAATAAGGCAACCCCCCCCTTAACTTCACATATTTTAGAGTGTTTAGCAACCCATATTAAGCATGGCTTCTAAATTATGTGGGGTCACAGATTTCATGCTACATTTTTTCCTCTTATTCAAAATAAACTGCATAGACATTTGCAACAGCAAACAATGATCTATTTTTAAAGGCATATGAGGAAAAAGTATCACTTGTAGTATCCCAGAGGCACCTGCTTCCAATCTGCATGCTCTGCTTGTCTAGTTGTCCAATATATACAAACACAATAATTTTGTATCTTGGTATCATAAGATCTTTTACTCGAGCCTTAATTACCTGGGAAAGAGAGATAGAGAGAGAACCCACATGTTTGCACATCCAAACTGGTACTGCAAGATTAAAGCTACACAAGCACACTTAGGAGCCAGTATGGACTTGCATAAGTATTGATTTATTTTACTGTAGTAATGACAGTAACACACAACACTAACGTTATTCACATCAGTGCTACAATGCACTGCAAGTAATCTAGCAAACTTTGGCTCACCATCTTAACTTTAGAAGATATTAGCTTCAAGACACAAGTAATGTATCAAGCTCATCTACCTATTCCTGTTCCCATAATCCTTAGTGCTATTTTCTAGGAGCACTGAGACCTTAAAGAAAAAGTGAATCTCATCCAGAAGCCATTCAATCTAATGTTAATCTACTGTAAACTCAATCTGCTAAAGGCAATAGAAAGGCCTCTAAAGCAGATCCTGTCTAAATTGTAATGCATAGGCAACTTAATCATTTGATGACTTAAGGCTATCTATGATCCAGCAGTGACAGTCCATGTTTCAACTGGAAACAGGCTTTGGCAGATGGAGCTGCTGAATTTGGTACATGGCCCATATTCAGCAAACGTATTGAACAAGTAGAATTCCATGCTGTCATTCAGCCATATAGCTTGGCTGGAAGGCTAGTACATTACTCTAAATAAAGTAATGGTCCCACAAGCCTTCTGCTGTTCCTACTGAGAGCAATGGAGACAAGGCTACCAAAGAACAAATGAAACATCAGTATCAGCCATGGCCTGCATCCCTCACTCCTCAACAAAAACATACAAATGATCGACAATCAGTTTGTGAATAATCAAATATGGATGTTTTTGCAGTTTAATTTTTATTTTATTTATTTTATTAAATTTATAGCCCGGCCTCCCAACATAGCAGGCTCAGGGTGGGTTCAAAACACATCAATCTGCACACAGTGTAGATTTACAATTAAAATTTAAAACATATATATCAATTAAAATTTAAAATGTAAAGCAATCTAGTACTGGATGTCCAATATTGCTCGACAGATGATGTTGATACCAGTAATGTGGTTCTGCGGTCACCGGAGGGGAGGCCATATCAGGTGGATGCCTGCTGCCTCAACTGAAAACCTGGCAGAAGGGCTCCGTCTTACAGACCCCACATAACTGCAGCAGGTCCCGCAGGGCCCTGATCTCATAAGAGAGCTCATTCCACCAGGTGGGGGCCAGGGCCAAAAAGGTCCTGGCCCCAGTTGAGGCAAACTGAACATCCTTGGGGCCAGGAACTATCAGGAGATGCTGATTTGCATAACACAATGTTCTGCGGGGCTCATATGGGGAGAGGCAGCCTCAAAGATATGCAGGCCCCTGTCTGTATAGGGCTTTAACGGTAATTCAATAGGCAGCCAGTGCAGTTTGCTCAGCACCGGGTGGATGTGGGCCTGCATAGGCAGTGACATTAACACCTGCGCTGCTGTGTTCTGCACTAGCTGTAACTTCTGGAGCAGAGTCAAGGGCAGCCTCACGTAGAGAGAATTACAATAATCTAATCTGGAAGTGACCATTGCATGGGTCACTGCAGCCAGGTAGCTGGGGGAGAGGTATGGGGCAGCCAGGTAGCTGGGGGAGAGGTATGGGGCCAACTGCCTGTTCTGCGTCAGATGGAAGAAGGCAGATCTAGTTGTGGTGGTGACCTGGGCCTCCATAGTCAGTGAGACATCCAGGAACACCCCCAGGCTCTTTACCTTACGTGCTGGCACCAACAGAGCCCAGCGAAGGCTGGGAGCCTGATACCCAACCTCTGACCCCCATGTCCCAGGTGCAGGACCTCCATTTTCAATGGATTCAGATTCAGTCGGATCTGCTTTAACCATCCAGCCATGGCTTGTGATGCCCTGTCCACCTGTTCAGGGTCAGAGTCCAGGTGGCCATCCATTAGTAGATAGAGCTGGGTGTCATTGGCATACTGGTGGCAACCCAGCTTAAACCGCTGGATAATCTGGGCAAGTGGGCGCATGTAGATGTTGAATAACATTGGGGAGCGAATCGATCCCTGCAGCACAAAACATATGACTGGGTGCTGCTGAGACAGCTCCCCCCCCCAGTGCCACCCTCTGTCCCCGCTCTTGGAGAAAGGAGGCCAGCCATTGTAAGGCTAGTCCTGTATCCCCACACCAATGAGGCAGTGGGTCAGCAGCTTATGACTGACCATATCAAATACTGCTGACATATCAAGAAGAATCAGTAGTGCTGAGCTGCCTCGATCCAGATGTCTCCGGAGGTAATCCACCAAGGCGACCAATACCGTCTCCATACCATGAACAGGGTGAAAACCAGACTGGAAGGGATCCAGGACATTAGCATCTTCCAAGAAAGCCTGGAGCTGTGTTGCCACCACCTTCTGCACTACCTTACCCAGAAACAGTAGATTGTGATGCATTTTCAGTTTAGCATTGCCGCCACTACTGGTTTCTGAAATACATCTTGGACTAATGAAGGGGATGGATTTCAATTTAAAAAATTATTTTATTTACTTCATTTATTCCTCCCTCCCTCCCTGAGAACCCAAAGTGGTTTACATCATTCCTCCATTTTATCCTCAAAAGCAGTCTGTGAGGTAGGTTAGGTTGGAGCTTGTGACTAGCCCAAGGTCACCCAGCAAACTTCCATGGCAGAGTGGAGATATGAAGTTGGGTCTCCCAGATCCTAGTCCAACACTTGAACCACTCCACCATGCCAGCATTATGTTTGATATTTCCACTGAAATGAATGGGACTTACAGCATGCATATATTTAAGTCACAATGAATCAAGTGGTAATGACTCTCAAACAAATGTACATTGGATTGCATTCTTAGCATTCATGGGAGTTACAAGTTACAGCATGGAGACTTTTCACCACACTATGTTAAAGGGACAGCTGGATAAAAAAAATGCTGAAACTACAGATATATTCAGTGCTTAACTTGTTAGCAAGGAAATATGCATGCTCAAGCCTATCTGGAAACTGCAACCTCTGGTCCCAATGGCACACTTTCCTTGTTAAATATGGGAACTAGGTGAGATGATTCAGCAGTGAAGAATAGACACTCAGCACATGTTCAGAAGTACTCTTCTGGAACACATAGTGCAATCCTAAGTGGAGTCACACCCTTCTAAGTCCATCAGAATCAATGGATGTAACTCTGCATAGGACTTCTGTTAGTCAAGAAGCCTATTTCAGAATTTTATATTGGACCAGGAACCTAACATCAACAAGCATGAATATTAGGAACTATCATTCATTATACTTGGAATGCAAAATCAGAGCTAAAGGGTACAGAATATGTAGCTTACCTGACAGGACCTGACATCAATCAACATTCCCTGAGCTGAGACTTGGATCAAATTAAGTACTGGATAGATTAGAGAGGAGAGAGAGAGAGAGAGAGAGAGAGAGAGAGAGAGAGAGAGAGACTTTGCTTTGCTAACTATTTCATACCTCTGAGATGGTCTTTGTCATTTGCCTGCACAGCTCTGCTTCGTATTTTTCTTCTTCAAGGTAACTTGTTACCACATCCTTCAAGATGTTATTCACAGTTGCCACTGGAAAGCATTTTGCAGGACCTGGTACACAGAAACAGGCCACAGCATTATTTCAGATGGTTCTGATGTTAAAAACCCCAACAACTCCGAGTACACTTGGTAATCATTATTAAAAAGAGCATTAAAAATTTACTAGAAAAACAGTGGAACCAGATTGGTGACCTTAATAATTAGGTCACAACAAAATGTTGTTTCCTATGAACTCAGTGCAGTAAGAACTGAGAAGTGCTGGTGTAATGGTTACAGTGTCAGATGAGGTTCTGGGATACCCAGCTGCCATAGAACCCTGCAGTCACACACTCTCAGCCCAAGCTACCTCACAGAACAGTTGTGAGCATAAAAGGGAGCAGGAAAATTATAATGATGTAAGCTTCTTTGGGTTCCCAATGGGGAGAAAAGTGGGGTATAAATGAAATAAATAAGTAAATTTGATTTGTTTTTAAGGTCCATAATAGAGGTGAAGCAGGTGATCTGAAGTTAACACTCTTAACTTTTTAAGAAACTTAAAATAGCTGTGGGGAAATCCAATGTAGACAGAGCAACGGTGCTGTTTCCCTAATCTAAACTGGTGTCCAAAGGTTTCATTTTTTTTTTTAACAAAAGTCAGTCTTTATCCCTTTATGTTGTGGAGATATGCCTTTTTATTTATACCTCCATGAGGGAAAAGGCTAAAGCTTTAATAAAAAAAGAAAACTGGGAATTTAGAGAACCTGCTTGACCTATCATTATAGCAATATAGCAATATATCACTAGTCTACTGGTTGTTGTTTTTTTTAAACACACATTACTCATCATCAGGGCAGGGAGGAGGAAAGGGAGTGGTTTGTCAATAGTGACAGTCCAATCATCAAAAAAGTGGGCTGGAGGTGAGTGAGAGGGACAGGACAAAGAAAACTGGCAGAAACATTATGCACAAGGAAAAAAGCTGGTTCAAAATTGGCTTCCAGAAAATGACTAAGGTAACAGCGGTTTCAAACGAAATGGAAAACAATGACTAAAGGCACAAAAATGTTTGTGGAAATCAGGAGATAAATTGAAGTGGGGTGTTCTTTATAGGGTTCCTTTGTTTTTTAAGACATATTATTATCAACCTTTTAGTACCTGCATATTGCAAGGCAGGTGGAAGGGAAGCATGTGTGTAGTTTCAAGGATGGGAAGAGAGAAGGAATTTCTTAGCTAAAACTGCGTCATGGTGGCCAGCCACTTTCAGTGGTAAGCCCCACTTAAATTATGGGATGTCAGCCATGCTGCACAGAGTAACATCTGCAGCTGACAATGACGACTTCCACTTCACACATGCAGCTACAGCTCATACTGCAAAGCACTAGCTTGCTACCATTTGGAGGTTTGCTTTGCTGGGACCTTTCTGGGGTGCAATGGTTTAGTTGTTTTTGCCTTATCCTAACAGTGAGTCATGTCGACTCCTCTGCATAAAAAGACACTGCATTTAAACTAGTAGGAAAGCTATTGATTTTAGAATACACCACTGTAATAAAGAAATATTTCAGATATGACAAAAGGCAGCATTTCTTTTAAGGATATTTACTCATGCTATGAAAGAGCAAGACTACGGTTATGGGTAAGACAATGAACTTTCCTTTCCTCCCCCCCCCTTTAATTTGTTTAAATGGCTATAATACTTACAACAAATATTATTTGTTTAAATAGCTATAATACCACTATACTTAATATGATGATTTCTGGGTTGTTGTTGTTTTAAAAAAATAAGTTCCCTTTTCTACAAAGCATGTGGGTTCTGGCTGTTTGCTTTATTATACCCACTAAACATAGAATGAAACCACAACACAGAATCTCACCCCTTTCAAGAAAATATTTAGTAGCTATGCACCAGAAACAGACTTTCAGCAGGTCATGCACAATTTCCAAAAGGCAACTTGTCAAGAAGCTTATGAGCAGAACCTTGCTGCAGGCAGGCAGTTCCCTAAATTGGGTTCTAAATCTATGCTGCCTCTAAGGCTTTTCTTCTTGAAGCAAAACAACACCACCAAAAACAAAAAAACCAAACAAAAAATCCTTGCTCCAGATTTTCCTGTTTCTCTGAGCTTCACACCACAGACATATGTAGCATTTGAATGTTTTGGGATAAATTAACTACAGAAGGTTATGCTTCTGAACTATGGTCATTACTGCATTCATGTTAGTCCCTTTAAAATGTCATCAATACTGTGCTGTTCCTGCTTACTCCTCCTCAGCACCAATAAATTCTGTGCAGCATATCTTGAATAATGTATGTGCAATCCCCCTTTTAAAAAAGCATGACTACACCTAGCATTCATATAGTGCTATGGAGCGTTCAAAGCAATTGACACACATTATCTCATGGCCAAACGACATGGAAAATCTGTTATCAGATATCTCCCCCCCTTAAAACAACATCGACATAAAAACACTGAGATGCAGCCACTAGGGACACCTATCTGCTCGCAGCACGGGGTACAGCGATTGCTTTCTCATGCTGTTTTCTCGGTATAAAGGGTTTCTCTCCCCCTTTCCCTGCAAGCTGTAGTTGGGTTTTCAAGTACCTCTATTTATTTTTCCCTTTGCACAGCAAAATAGTGTGGGATTTCAGGGTGACTTCAGTCCGGAAAATGGCAGGAGTTAATACCCTTTCTCCCTTCCTTTCCCCAAAGCTGCCTTAGACAAATTGGCAGCTCCTAAAACTGTATTTTAGTAAGAAAATATATTTGAGAGATATAATCACAGATCTCCCAAGTGGTCATTAATACTTACAACAAAGGTCAGCATTATTTTGTCCATAGATTTATGGTGGTATATTCCTGCTCATATGAGGCTGAAGTGGCTTAGAGGTTAAGATACTGAGCTGCAGACCGGAAGGTCTGTAGTTCGGCAGTTCGAGACCCTAGTGCCACGTGACAGAGTGAGCTCCTGTCTCTGGCCCCAGCTCCTGCCAGCCTAGCAGTCTGAAAGCAAGAAATTGCAAGTAGATAAATAGGTACCGCTTTGGTGGGAAGGTAACAGCGTTCCGTGCACCTCGGCGTTTAGTCATGCCGGCCACATGAAGTAGGTTGTATTTAGAACTATCGATATTCTAACTCCCAAAGCAGTTCTATAGAACAAACCATGATTCGTGTTCAGTACACAAGTTACTAATTTTGGGGTATACCCAGGGGTCTTGTTGTAGAAAAACAGCTGCCGGAGCTCATTAGCATAACTCATTAGCATAACTTATTTGCATATGCCACGCCCCCTGACATCACCGGAAGTGACAGAAGGCCACACCCCCTGACATCACCGGAAGTGTGTCAGAAGGCCCGGCTACTTACCCTCCTGCTTCATCCTCATTCCCAAACGGAATGAGGATCGAAGCAGAGGGCGGGGTAAAGAAGGGGGCGGGGCTTCACCACGTGACCGCCCCGCCCCCTAGAGGCTCTCTTCCGGAGCTCCGTACCTGAGAGCTCCCCCCCGACTAGAGCCCTGGGTATACCTAAAATAGTTTCAGACAACAATATTTTTGACAACTATGTGATCTAAGAACCACTACACTCAGGGATTCAAAGAAAAACCAGAATCCGGAAGAAACTTCACTCCAGCACTAAAATATTTTGCTTGCCAAAAACATGATGGCTTCTGAATCAAACATATGGTTTACCCTATCAGATACACAAACCTTCTGTAGATTTCACAGTGTAAATCTGGTTGTCAGTAAGCTCTAAGGCATGAACTCAACAACTTTCCTTGACAGTTATGGAAATCACTGTGACCTAAGTGTCAGGCTATCTGGGTGGCACGCTCCTCTGTCCATTCCCTGTATATCCAAATGTGCACCGCTGCTAACAGCCCTAATGGGGTTGGATCATGGCTCAGTGATGTAACATTTGCAAAACGTGCCAGATTCAGTCTTCCAGCCTCTGCCGTTAAAACCTGAGAACTGCTGCCAGTCAGAGTAGACAACATTGACCTTGGTAGACCTATGGTCTCAAACAGCTTCTGCACTTCCAACAGTCATCCTGACTATGGCTTAGAACCCATGGGACAGGGGAAAGGGGGTATTGCCCATTTATTCCCCTATCTCGGCGGGAGGGCAGGGTAGAAATCCAATAAATAAATAAATAGATCTTCACCCCATGCATTTTGGAAAGCTGCTCTATCAGAACCCCAAGACTGTGGAGACAGAAAGAACAAGAGAGATGAGGGCAGAGAGGAAAATATCAGCAAAATACTGTATAAGCTGAAGTGCATTCTGCTCACACAATAGGATCTTTGGATCCAAACCATGGTACATATTGGGCATGTTAAGGATCACTCACTTTGTTTTTTTAATTTAAATTATTTATTTATAAAAAAATAATCACTTTGTGAACTCAACAACAATAAATCTAGGAATTAAACTTTAAAAATATAATCAATTTGCAAATGTTTTGAATTTTTCAGCCTACTGTTATAACAAAGATAATAAATAAAACTTTATGGATACTCCCCCCCCACACACCTTTAGCTTCCTTATTTTGCACTCTTCATAGCAGTATGCCAGAAAACCTCTTTTTTCCAGTTAGCATCAATGTTTTAGAATTAGGGAGGCAGATGTGGTTGTAAAAGCTATGAGATTCAGCAGAGAACACCTTGGAAGAAGTATGGACTGTAGTATAAACCTCATTACTGAATTACTTACTTATTTTAGAAAGAAGTCTGAGGAGAACAAGTGTTTAAATGGCAGAGAATGCCCAAAGACTTTTCTTGTGCCTCTTCTGTCTCTCATACTCCTGAAAGCTCAACATGGCCCAATATTCACTTCCAAAGAATAAGGGTGGACTAGTGAACTGATATTCTAGAGCAGGAGCTCAAACAGGTATGATCAACATCATAGATCAAGGGAGTACAGCTCAAGCAGTGGCAACTGAAAGTCTTTTGCTGCCTTTCCCTGATGCCTGGCCTCATGACTTCTGCCACCACCCTTGCCCAGAAGCCAGAAGAAAGAACTCTCCTTCCTTTTTCACTGTCCTTGCTCTCTTGAAAAACAATGCAGCAAACTGTGGATGTTCTACACAGTTCACCTCATTATATAGCCAGCAATAAGCACAAAGAAACTTTTGCTGGAACTATCTAACTTTTGCTAAGTAAAAAACCAAATTGCTTCCAAGAGTTACTGCACTGCAAACTATCATGGTCATATTGGAAAGAATGGCTTCTGCCATTCTTATGAATCTCTCAGGAAGCACATTCATTCCTCAGCTTCTTCTGAAACAGATGGTCTCTTCAATGAGAATGCACATCCTTCATATCTATGAAGCCCTTACTGCTCTATGCTGCTAACAGTATCATAGAGCCTGGGCATCCATGAGAGGTTCAGATGGCTCCAATACCTAGACAAGAGCAATATGGCATAGTGGCTAGAATATTGGAATAGGATCTACAAGAATTACTCGTAGGTTTGAATTCCCATTCTGACATACAAGCTCATTGAGTGATTTGGGGCCTGTCACACACACTCAGCCTAACCTACCTCACAGAGTAGCTGTTATGGGGATAAGGTAGAAGAAGGGATACACTATTTTAGGTCCCCAAGCAGGGTATAAATAAAAAAATAAAATAAACTGAAGAATAAAGTGCCCACTGGGAATCTTATGTGTAGAATAGACCTGTTATTAAGGAAATGAGGAGTAAGGGATCCTTACCTAGCTGGTATGTGTTCTCCATTTGAAAAGGAGGACGAAGAATGTCGTCATGGTGGCTTGGTTCATCCATGTAAGACACTGTACTCATGGAGCTAAAGACAACCCCAACAATAACTATGTTAACTGCTATTTGTTAGACACAGCATGAAACTAATCAGATGCAAAGTACCACACTAAAAAAACCATGAAGGCATACAAGGGCTCTATGAGATGTTTCACTACACCATTTCAGAGAAACAATCAGCTAACACTGGAGATATTTTTTGTGTCTTCCCAGGAGAAATTAATATTAGGCACACATTACGAAGCACATGAAGCTCCCAGAAGAGGGAGTTTAACCTTGCAGTCTTTTGCACAGGCTGATTCTCCCCTGCAAAAGTTCTTCCCACATAGAACAACATGAAGAACTTTTGTCAGTGCATCCATTATGGTGCCAGTATTTTATTATACAAATGCACTTTCTCTTACCATCATGTTGTCTTGGACATTTAACTGTCCATTGCTTATTTGATGGGGCTAAGCCGAAAGTGCGCAGGTCCGTGTTTTCAAATAGGTTTCTAAAACAAATTTGTGCATTTCCATGTGGGCTAGGCAATCTATCTTTTTAAACAATGATTATAAATGGTTATTGCTCCATTATGCAAGGCGATGGAGAAGAAGTAACATTTTAACCTTCCCACCCTATAACCTTTGAAATCCAGAACCAAGCACATAGCTCTCACATATGCCCAGCTTCATATGCCAAAGAAGGCAGAAAGTCACAGTGAGGTTGCCTGCTGCCTCAAGAAAAATTCTCTGCCCCTTTACCTGATTGTTTCCATACTTTAAACTTGTATTAAATCAGCAGGCAGTTTTTCTCCAGGCCTGTTGGCAACCCTAGACTGTGGCAGGGAGTTAAAAGCCACATGGGCCCAGATCCATCATGAGGCACTGTCATATTAAAACACCTAAACTTGGAAGCTGTAAAAGAAAATTTCCGTAAACTGGATAAGCAACTGAAGAACTGGAGGGATGACAAGTTAGAAAACAGTGTATCAGAAGCAGTAAAAGGGCTACTTACTCTTTGGTTCTTCCAATAAATTCTTTTGCCTTGATTTCATGGCTTCCTAAAGAAGAGATGCTGCCCCTTTTCTTCAACAAGCGGGCTGCTTTATCCCTCACAGTGTCTGACATGTCTTCTGGAATAAAGGAAATACATTTTAACTCTGTCAGATCAATGACCTGAACATTAATTCAAACTAGATGGACTTTGAGGTGCTACAGTAAGGTCCATCTTATATTCTGAAGTGAGAATGTATTCTCAAAACCACTTAACATAATGTTAGTTACACTGCTCTTCACTGAGAAGAGATTCTGAGTAGGTACTTTGTGGGCCCCAGAGGTTTGGGTAAAGACTAAACTTAAAAGGTGAATCCATCTAGAATGGCTCATAAGCATGCACAAATGCAACCTCTCCAAAAGACAAGTTCTATCAGCTGTCAGCACAAGATGCTAGTGCAACTCTGCTGGAACACAGATAAGGGTTGCCAAATCTCCCCCATACTCAATTTTCATTACTTGAACACAGGGGTCGTTTCATAGAAAAAGAGCTAGGGGAACTCATTAGCATAACTCATTAGCATATGCCACACCCCCTGGCATCACCGGAAGTGTGTCATAAGGCCACACCCTCTGACATCACTGGAAGGGTGTCATAAGACCACACACCCCGCCCCCAACGGTCCCGGCCGCCGCTGCTGGCCTTGCAGCTCCACTGCCGAGCCCCATGAGGGAGTGCAAGGAAGCCCCGCGAAGGCCCTCCCTGGCCCCAGGCAGGCAGGGGTGGGGAGAGGCAGGGAGGAAGCAACTTCTCCTGCCTCCTCCTGGCTGAATGAGGTCCGGAAGCGGGGCGGCCGGAAGCAGGGGGCGGGGCTTCGTCATGTGCCCCCCCCATACCTCACCCGGGGGAACTGCGATCCCCCCCGAAATGACCTCTGCTTGAACAATTCAGTCAGTTAATTTACTCCTATCAACCAAAGCTCATCAAAGTGTGGCTTTAATAGCGACATGGAAGAAAGTCAGCCTGGTTCAGTGTTTAGTACTGGACTGGAACCCAGAGGCCCAGGTTCAAATCCCCATTTTGCCATGAAACTCAGTGGGCAACTTGGGTTGGTCCAGTCACACACATTCTACTGCATAGGGCTATAGTGGAGATAAAACAGGGGAGGGGAAAGTCATTTATGTCACCCTTGCAGAAAGGGTGGGATAAAAAAATGCGTGGACAGGAAGAAGACTCACAGCCCCCAATGCAGGCAAGATTAAGAAAATGTGTGATGTAAGCACACCAAAGCAGTATCTGAACAGCAAAAGAGGCACACCAAATGAACAGAACTTTAATGGCAAAGGTGGAGTGGGGAGAACCTGTATGCATCCACATGTAAATGCAGACTTTGCCTGAAGAAAGCTTGTGGTAAAGCCAAAAAAGTTGCAACAAAAGTTTCGTTTTATTCAAAAGTTTCTATCAGAAACTAAACCCCAGCCCGAAACCCCACAGATAAGATTCCTTGCATCATTGTTTCATAAGCTCTCTGTGTGTGCAGCCTCTAAAGTACACTGAGAAAGATTTTCAAACAGGCAAATTGTTTCTGAAAGAATATTTTCATTGAAACATCCCTCCCCCCCATTGCGTTTGCCTGACTATGCTTTAGTCTTGCTTTCCAATATTTGGGGCAATCCCTTTGTAATTTGTTCACAAAAACTTATGCCACAGTCAGTGTTCCCTCTAAGCTGAGTTAGTGTGAGCTAGCTCACAGTTTTTTAGCCTCCGGCTCACACATTTTAGTCTCCGCTCAGGAAGGATGGCTCCAGAGCAAACTGATTTATGCAGTAGCCGAATTGCTCGCTCACAACTTTAATGCCAGTAGCTCACCAAGTAGAATTTTTGCTCACAAGACTTAACAGCTTCACAAAAACTTATGCCACAGTACTGCTTTGGCTGTAACAGCCTAACAAGACCACCGCTCCAGAACCTGAGGACCTGACTTCGTTTTCTGCTAGGCGGCGCCGGTACCGTCACCAAATGGGTGCATCAACAGGCGGAGGCTTCCTCACCCCTGCGAGGAAGGCGCATCACCTGTTCCCTTGGTGTCTGTCATGCAGCTGTTAAAAGCGTGGCGGCGGGGGGGGGGGGGGAGAGGGGGAAAGGGGGGGGGGGAAGAGAGGCAAACCTACGCAGCAGCCCTTCTCGCCTCTTGGCTGCTTAAGATTTTCTTCTGAGATCTGTAAGGGACCCAGACCCAAAGGGACAGCCAGGCTATGACCCTCCTTCTTCACCAGGCTACCACCCCCGCCAGCATCAGCCCCTCACTCCTACCTTTCCTCTTGCAGCCAGACTGTTGCTTGTTTCCAAGGTTACAAGCCCAGCTTCTACACGGCGGCGAAGGGCGGCCACAGCTTTGTCCCCGCCCCCAGGCGCGGGAAACGGCAGACAGAAGAGCTGCTACAGACCCGGAGCCAAAGCGGCTCACTTCCAGCTTGCCGGCACGGAGCCCGCCGACTCCCGCGGGTGCTTCTGACGCTTTGCCTGCCGCGCCAAGCCGACCCACCGAGAACCTTCAGCGCCGAAAAGAAGGGCGGACAGCCGAAGTTAGGAGGCTTTTGGCGGCGGAGCGGGCGCGCCTTCTTCCGGTGCAGTGGTTCTCCAGTTCTTTCGCATCCACTCCAGTAAGGGCGCCTTGCAGCACTGAAGCTCTGGTGGCGGCGGCGGCTATGGATGGTGGCACAGCTGGGCTTTAGCAGCCTCCCGCCGCACTTGAGCCCATCCCGATTGTCATCTTGGTGCCCAGGAAGGCGAGAGAGAAAAATGCTAAGGCAATATCCATTGCTTTGCTTATTGCGTGTATCATAGTATTTTTATTCTTTTCCAATATTCTATTTTTGTTGTTTTCCTTCCGATCCAGCAATATTGCCTTGTTTGTTCTTCATACCGCACCATCATTTATGCATCGTTCTCTGTTTTTGTGATGATTCCCTTGTAATGAATGTATATGTTTGTACTGTATATTGTACTGTCTTTTCAAATGCGTTTTTAAAAATTACCTCACTTGCTTTGGATCTCAGTGAAAAAAAGGAAGAGGAAGGCACAGCTTATTTTGCACCCTAGGCGAGGAACCCTTCTGGCGCCCCCCCCTGCGCCCACCAATTTTCCCTTCTGCCCCCCCCCCCGCTGCTCCTCCTGAGAAGTTAGCTGGCCAAAGAGGCTGCAGCGGCGGTCACCCGGTCAGAGCTGGGGGGGGCTTTTTTGGCAGGGTGGGTGGGTGCAGTTTGGCGCCCCTCGTCAGGGTGCCCGGAGAAGAGGCTGACTGGCGGGGCGCTCACAAGCCGTCACTCCCCCAGCCCTGCTGTTGCCTAGTGAGTGAGCCGGCCCTGGGAAGGCATCATCTCCTCAGCTTCAATTCACTGTTACAAGTCCCCCAACACTTCCATTTAGGGTGCTTTTTCTATTCAATACAGTCCTTCCTCTCTCCAGCAATACTGCTTTAACTTTGGATCTCGTTTTATCAACCACTGCAGGGTTTCCTGTTTTAGTAACTCACCTATTCCTCATCTCATTTCAGTTTTTAGTTCCACTTCTTGACTTGTTCTTTCCATCCGAATCTTTCTCCATGGTCATCTTTATCCCTTTTATGTATGGTATAAAACTTATTCTTTTTAATAGCCTCTCATCCAACTTACCTTTTCCATGTTTCCTGCTTTCTTCTGGCTGTTTCTAATCTTGCTGAATCTGATATTCTCTTATTTTTTTTCTGTGTGGCACCTTACTTGTGAACTTTCCCATTGCTTGATATTTACTTGTGAACTCTCCCATTGCTTGATATTTATCTTCCTAGTGCATTTTCAGCCTGTACTTGCCCCAGCAATCTCAGAGTGGTATGCATGGATTTCCCTGCCCCATTTTATTTTCTCAGCAATCCTGTGAAATAGGTTAAGGCTGACTGTGGGACTGGTCGTGAGGTAGGTTTCGTGGCAGAGTGGGGATTTGAATTCTGATCTCCCAGGTCATACTCTGCTACTCTAACCACTATACCATGCTGAATCTCTGCATTGCTTGGTTTATACTTATCATCAGGGCTTTTTTGTGTGGCAGTACTCACTGGTTTTGAGTACCGGCAGCTGGGAGGGGGGACTTCCTCAAGTTCTGAAGGGGGAATTGGTTGAAATCAGTGCAACCTTATATATGAATATGAATACCTTTTTAAAAAAAAAACAGCGCTGCTCATCACAAAATTCTTTGAGACATACCTTTTCCAATGTAAACTATTTTTTCTGTTCTGGCTCTCTCTGCAGCTCAAATCCTCATCTTCTGTTCCCTCTTGATGTCTTTGTTTTTTCACATGTCATGCATGCATTTGATTAGACTCTTGTAGAGACTCAGTTTACTTGTTCCATGTGCAGTGTTTGTCTCTCATAAGTACTCAATAAACAGGACTGGCATGTTTGTTAAAAGTATTGCACAAATTACAGGAAAAATTAGCCCAAACGTAAAATGGTATTTTTAGATTTCTCATTTAATTTCAAGGGGAAAAAAAAATCACATTTCAATTACAACTTATTATTTTACTTTTTTTATGTATAGAATTTAATAAACTTTGTTCTGAAATGGGGACCCTATTTGTCGTATAATGTCATGAATGGTAAATAATTGCATATTCAGGATTTTATGAAATGGATGACTGGGGGAAATCATGATGGAAAGACACTTATAAAAATTATTATTTACAAAAAATAGACATTTGTTTTCTAATCTATGTTGAAAGAAAAATTGAAAACGTGGTTTTATGATTATCTTCAACGTCAATACAACACATTAATATTATCAGTGATCAGATACAAAGCTTTGCTGCAGTGTTTTCTGATGCAACATACCTTTTATATAGTTTACAGTTTTTCTCCAAGACCATCATGTTAGCAGCAAAGCTTCCGTCACAGACTAAGCAGTAAAACAGGGTCAACTAGACTAAAAGGATATTTCATTGCACACATAGGCAGAGTCCAGACTTTTAAAACTTAAATGTTTAAAAATATACATGTGTATTTTCAGTCCACAAATATCTATAAACAGTTTATACACAAGGTTGTTTTTTTTATAAAATGATATAATCTGATATCTGATAAAATGCCAGGAAATCTAATTT